ATGAAACTTATTAAAATTTAATTACATATCGCGTATATTGCAATAAATAATAAATTCTGTAAAGAATCTTTAATAGTAATTTGATTAAACAAATAAGATAGGTGATACGAATGTGCCACTCATCGCACTAGTAGTTATTAAATTTGAATTATTGTATGTGATTTTTAACTTATTCTAAAAAATATTGTTTATTATTCATTTTTTTTTGTTTTTTTTTATTTATTTTTTAGTAGAATAACTTTAATACTTATTAGAGATGAATTCACCGAGGTGCTATATTTCAAAAAAATAATAAGTAATATTAAATATTTAAGTAAAAATGTTCAGGACCCTCTGCGTTATATAAATCCTCCTTTATCCTAAAATTGTACTCTAGCCCTAAAACTTTTTAGGCCAGTAAATATAAAATAAAATTTTTTTAGTATATCAGGAGTTTTTTTTGTTTTTTAGAATATTGCTTTTTTTTTTGTTTTTTTTCTTATATTTTATTTTTTTTTTGCTTTATTTTTTAAAATATCAATTTTTTTTGTTCTTTTTTTTTTTAACATATTATTTTCTCTTTTTTAAATTATTGTTTTGGGGTGCTCTCAAGTATCATTCTGATATTATTAGCAAGTAATTGCAATAGCACTTAGTCAAAATTATATTTATATACAATTTTTATTGAAAATTTGAATATTTTATACTGTAATTAAAATTTTCTCAAGCATTATCTTTGATGTAATTAACTAGTGATTATAATGGTGCACATTTAATATAATTAATTAAAATAAGCATTGCAATTAATATTTAAGCAATTCTTTTATTATTTGTCAAAAATAAAAAATAAAAATAAATGAAAGTAAAAAAAATGAAAAATAAAAAAAACAAAACCAACTATTAAATAAGAAGCAAATGCTATAAATTATCAAAAATGTTCTGATGAAGCATTAACTTTGGCAGCTTCTGTTGCTCATTTACTTTTTTTACCAATTATAATATATTATTCCAACAACAATATTCTGCCTCTATTTTTTAAGAATTCATTAGTTGTAAATAAAGCTGCTATTAGTTACAAAGAGACATTTATTTAGAAATATAATAATTTAATAAATTTTTTTTTTATAAGCCATCAAATAATTTAAAAACAGTTTCTAATAATGATTCAGCTTCAAATACAGATTCTATCTCTTCTGAAGTATTTAACAACAAAACATATTTTTTTTTGAGCCTCCTGGTTTTTTTATCATTTACAAACATGTTAGTAGAGAAGTAAAATAATAATTCATTGCTAAACATGATAATCTATAGCAATATTACTTGTGTGGTCTTTTTGAAAACTCAATTAATTATAAAATTTTTAAGACAGGTATAAAAAAAAGGAGGTTTGTTGTAAAAAGTTTGTTAATTTAAATAACACTTTTATTTCAATTTTTTTTATTAATAAAAATATTATATTTATATAATAAGCTTTATCAATTAAGTATATTCAAACTCTGTTTCAGTGGAGTTTGAATTTTGTCAATTTCACAGAAATGTGAAATTGCAAAAGTTACATAACATTGCCACTTAGGTGAACTTTAAAAATCTCTAATTAATGAAGTTATTTATAATATGCTAATTTCTCATATTTGAAAAAAAGTAACACACTCTATGAAATACTCCTGCTAATGCAGTGTATTTTATAGAGCATATTACTTTTTTCAAATGTGACAGAGATTAGTATTGAAGTGATAGATGAAGAAATATATAGTGTCTACAATAGTAGTATTAGGTGTTTTAACTTGTTATACATAAACTAGTTAATTGATATAACAGATACAGAGATAGTAATATAGAATAAGCTTCGCATATTAAGAATAAAATTACTGAAAGGCTATAAAATAAAATAGTTTAGTGTGATAGAGAAAAGGGTTATTAGGTATACAGAAAGTAAAAAGATAGTGGACTATTTTAAGATATCAAAAAAGAATTTGATATATATACAAACAAAAGCAAAGAAGCTATCTGATGATCAGAGATAGTATGAGTAGATAATCATTAACAAAGAGAATTCAGAGTTAATAGTTAGTTAAATAAGAAAAAAAGAAAGTTGCAAGTACTAATTGATCATTGAATACCCAAGTCTTTGATCAATAATAGAGATGTACTAAAAGAGTACAAAAATTGTAATTTGAGTAGGCAGCTGAGATTGATATATGCCAACTGTGGGTTAAGAAGAGTAGGGTATTAAAGGTAATTCCCAAGATTAATATAAATAATAGGAAAAAGGTTCTATTGTTACTAAGAGAGATTAAGGGTTTTAAGTCAGGCAGTAATGTTTTAACTAAAGAGAAAGTGAAAGGAAAATATATAGTGCAATAGTAATGAACTTATATAAACAAAGTTTGGTTATAGAGCAGAGTTTTGATTAGGAGCTAGAGGTACTATTAATATAGCAAGTTGAGAGCAATTGTAGTAGAAATATAGATAGTAGTGTATATTATACTAATAGGTCCTTGATCAAAAGTAGGATAGATTGTAGGATGAATGCAAGTTGAGTACAGGTGAACAATTTGAAGGAAATGGTACTTGTAAAGAGAAAGTTAAGTTTGGTAAATAGCCATCATCAACAAAGGCTAAGTTAGTAGCTGTGTTAATAGTAGTACTGATAGCCAAATGTAGAAGTGAGGTTGTAGTTAAGTTAGATAGTGCTGCAGCAATTGCAAGTCTGGAGTAAGAAGCAGAATACTAGTTTAGTAATTAAGATTAAAGATATATATAGATCAAATGGTTTAGCTCTTCAGTTAGTTAAGATAAAAGTATACAGTAAGGTAAAATAGAATAAAAAGCTGACTAACTAGCAAAAAAAGACACCTGCTTAGCTTAGAACTTGGTATTACTCTTGAAAAAACTATGGCAAGAGATTTACTGTTTATCTCAATGAAATACTAATTGAGGTAATAACAAGAAAAATAGTTAAGATGCTGATAAGTTTCAAAACTGGTGTGAAGTGGTGTAGTTTGAATGCTATTAAATAGAATAGACATGAATTGTAGCTGAGGAATTAAGTGCAAGCCACGAGTAGCGAGCAGAAATACAGCTTTCTGAATTAAATATATAAATAACAACTTACTAGTTTTGGTAGTATTGAAAAGAAAAAAGCCAGAAGTATATTTAGACAATATGTTTGTAAGTTATAGATGTGTTAGAGAAGTTTTTAATCATCTGGTAGAGTGTACAGGGTATATCAATTACTGGGTATTATAGAGGAGATTGCATGCTTATTTGCATAGAAGAAGTCAGATTATGTATATAAAAGGACAATATCTTTAGAAATTTTTGAGTTGGCAATGGGTAGTAATTCAGCTGAGAAGAAGTCCAAGTGGAGAAAAGATTAAATTAGAGAACTCATACCTAATGATGCTGTAACAAAGCTATTAAACTTAGAGCTAACAAATAAAAATAAACTTAGTATTAGGTAGTTATATAGCAATTGATAAATTTTGTGAATTAGATGCAATGCAGTTATGCATAGAAAAAGGAGACTGATATAGATATAGCAATGAAAAGGAGTAGCCAAAAGATTCTTGCTATAGAGGGTATCAGTAAGAATACAATATTAAGAGTAAGAAAAAGCAAGATTAGAGTTAAGTCGAGTAATATAAATAGAGTAGTAAGTATTGAGAAAAAGACAGAAGTTATGAGAGTATTTAACATAGATGATATTGAATAGGTTGAGAATGAATTAACTCCATTTTGGTTTAGTTCTTAATAGAGCTAACAAGGTCTTCTAACCCACATGTGGGTTGATGCAACAAGTTACATCTGGACACACATCAGTATATAAAATCCGAAAAAAATTGTTATGCACATGTGTACATAGTAAAAATTTTTTGTGCACATTTTAAAAATTTTTATATAAAATTGTGCACAACTTATATGTTAATTAGAAAAAATTCTTGTGCACATGTGCATATCCAATTTAAAAAATTGTGCACACTAAAATAAAATTGTGCACATGTGCACACTGTGCATATGAATTTTATACACTGGCACAGATGGTGTAGCCAGATGATACTGAGCTTACAATTTTTGATTAAATATTATTAGGAATTTTTAAACTTTGTTTTTAGTCTAATAGTAATATAATTTGTATTTGAATACTGACAAGACTGCTAAAGAATTAAATATATATATATATATCACATAATCAATAATATAATTATGAACCTAACTCCATGTAATCACACCTTTTTATAATAACTAAATTTACAAAAATAATTTGTGTAATTATAGAGAGTTTAACTGTAATTTATACTTAATAGATATTCTATGGGCTGTTGTAAATATTATAGGTTAGCATGATAAAGCCATAGTAATACTTGATGTTCACAGTGCACATGGAATATCTGATATATTTCAAAGTTCCTACGGCCATAGCATTTCTGATTAGAATTTTTACTGATGATGTAATGTCTGTAGAATAAATTTTAATTTTTTCACAGCATTACGTTATTATAAAAATATCATCAGAAATGTTTATGGGAGAACATTAGGAGCTGTGGAATATAAAAAAATATTTTATATAACTATCTCTTATTTACACCAGAACCCTAAATTCTAATAGGTGTGGTTACTTATAACCACTAGTGTGGGTTATAATAATTCTTTAAATTTTTGCATAATTTTAGAATATTTTGGTCAAAAATTCAAAATAAAATCTTTTATTTAAAATTTAAATATATAAAGTAAAGTATAATGATATGATGCATTTTTATGTGTAGAAGAAATTTACTTAGAGCATAAAAATATTATTGATTAGTAAAATTAGGAATTATTATATTTTTTATAATTTTATCAAAAAATTATGAAAAATATTATGATTCTTAAAATTTTACTAATTAACCATAATATTTTCATGTTTTAAGTAATTTTGTTTTATATATAAAAATATATTTAAGTTATTGAACCGTGAATTTGTGAACTGAACTTGACTTAAAAGTTTAACATTGAACATGAATTGAAAATTATTTATAAAAATGTTCAAGATCGGTTCAATATTAAACTGTCCTGAACCTGAACTTGACCAAAGTTCAGTTCAGGTTCATAGGAACACTAAGTGGAAGAGGCAGAGAAAGTGGAGAAGTAACAGCAGCAAAAAATAGAAGAAAAAAGTAAAAGAAGCAGAAGGGCAAAAGCGCAAGAACCAAAAAAATATCAAAAGAACTAAAGGAAGCAGAAGGAGCATAAAAACAGAAGAAGCATAAGATCCGAAAAGAGCAGAAGAAGCAGAAACAAAGAAGCAAAAAGGCAGCAGTAGCAAAAGCAGAAGTATTAAAGTAGGTAAAATTTGTATTGATGCGCTACACCTAGGGATGGCAGAAAAATGATTTTTATTGATTTAAATCGGGTGACGTTTTAGTTCTGAATATTTGTATGCGACGTTTAGACATATTTAAATTATAAACATCACCTGATTTAAATCATTAAAAATCATTTTCCTGCCATCTGTAGCTACACCCTGTGTGGACCATCTTTAATTTCCGGCATGTCACGCACATGCCTGAGTTTCAATTCTCTTGTTTTCATCACGTGACCATTATGCAATGTCTCATTACGTAGTAGTTTATGTATTTAGTACGTACTTGGCATATCTTAGTGCCTAGATCCGCAGCGTGACATTACTCTCATGTGTGTACAGTATATTCATCAAATCTAATAAAGTTAATTTGAGCATAATGAAGTTTATTCGAGAGTTTTGATCGATTTTCGAATAATTATTCACAGATCCACACTTTAATTACATTAAATGATATATAAATACAATATATAAAATATGTAAATTCCAAAATTCACAATTTAAATTTAAAATTTATCGGTACAGTATAAATGTTTACAAAATTCATGAGGCGGAGTGGTGTATAAAACGCTGGAATTTTTAAGCACAAGCATAGCAATAAAAAAGCACAGCACATTGCCACAAATATTTTTAAATATTTACTACTAATTATGGCTTAGTTTGAATTTTTATAAATTTCAAATACGATTAAAAATCTTTACCTAAATTGTTTTTTATTGAAATTTATCCTGCTAATCGTTATAAATATTATTTAAAAATTATTCTCCCTATCAAAAAATTGATTTTATTAAAGATAATTAGAAATGACATCCAGTTCTCATGTGGAAATTCCAATGGAAGAAGCCCCAGATAAAAATAAAATTTCGGAAATAGTTTGTTCTTTTAACTTGA